ATTACAAATGGATTCCATCAAAAACAATTGGTATTCCAATACTCAACACTTCGTCATCCATTTTTATTTTGTTTTTTTTTTATTTTTTTTATTTCTTCTTCTCTTCTGTTGTTTGATCACTTTCAATCCTAGACTCTTCAATAGTTTGTTTTTTTGGTGTTAACACCTTGATTGTAGATTTGTAACTGAATCTTTTTTGGCATCCTTCACTCTTGTTATAACCGTAATCAGTTATTTTTCTATTGAATACAATTCCCATGATTTTTTTTCTATAATGATTTGATGTGTCATCGAATAGTTATTGTTTCACCACGAAAATTTACAATATCTCCGTCTTCATCGACTATTCGTAATTCAATGTGATCAATTGTCTTCACAGCGACTAGTAAATAAATAACATGAGATGGGACTTCAACTATCTTATATCCTGGTCGTACACTGGGAAAAAATTCATGAATAGTGTGCACTTTATGATTATTTATATACGCACCTGTTGTAATGTTACACTCGATTCTCAATGAATTAACCTTTATAATAGAAACTGGTGAATAGTGAACTGGTGAAGCCGGCTTCAAGTATCTGTGGTCTAAAGCCCAACAATTTTGCTATTGTATCAGATTTTTTAAAATTTATCTCAAAATTAGACTTAATCTCGCTACGTAAAGTATTATTGTTTGGTTTAATGTTGAGTTTAATTCCTTTAAGTGTTAAAATTGTCTGTAAATAACGTTGAATATCACTTATTTCATAGCTACTAGTCGGTATTGTGATATCTTCTTCATCGACATAAAATTTATTTTGTCCAATATCTATATTGGGAATTGAATTAAAGGTTAAAAATTCAACGAGTCCAAGAGCGTAATGTTTATTGGGTGATAATTCAATTGGTGGAAAGTATTGTGTCTCTAAAATAAATGTATTTCTAGACAAGGTTAACGTTAATGAATCGTTCATTTTGCTGCTTCAATGTAAACTGAAGAAAAAAATGGTTTATAGTCTTTATTTATACCAAAAGAGAGAGAATAGAAATTTTTTACATCCAATTGATTGCACAAGAATTTTAAACATAAATGACCGCACACAAAAGTATTGTAATTTTGATATCTTTTGTGATTGTATGTATTTTATTGTTTTTACATTAAGATATTTTACAAAATCTCTTGGTGGTTGAAGATTTTCATAACTATCAAAATATATAACATCATTTTTTTTCTTTTTATATGCAACCCAGTGTGTACCAATACTATTTTTACTATCGAAATTAATTATAGCTGATTCAAATTTATGTGGTCCTTTAGCTGGAAATTCATCACGCATAAAAACACCTCGAAAGTGAGAAATTTTCAAAATTTTAGCATATTTAAGTAAATCAGAATTTGTTAACGCTCGATGTGGTAATTTAACAATTTTTTTCATCTTTACTTTTTTGTTTTTTTTTCTTTTACAGTACATTCTAATCCTAATCCCTGCTTGTATGGCTTGAGATAGAGACCTTTTCCCAAAGCTATAGATTCCATTGTTTTGTTATGATCGTTTTGCTAATTTTGTTCCAGATCCACAATATTGATAACCAGGAATATGTATTTCGTTTGACAGGTTTTCGACGACTGATTGCTTTTTTCTTTACACGCATGTTGATATTCATTTGATATTTTTTTAAGGACTAAAGTGAAAAGGTATAAAAGCGAGGTATTTATAGGTTTTTGTGTTAGTTCAAGGTACAATTTCAACCTTGAAGGTTAATTTTACTCAGATCCAGCGTTTCTTGCTGAATTTGAAAATTTCTAAAAACCTTTAACAGCAATAGTCAATTATGCAGTCAATTTTATAATCATTTGAGGATACTAAGTGCTTTGAACTCCCACCACAACCGCAAATTGAAGATTCAATTCGAGATTCAAAACTCCTGGCAATTAAAAAGTACAAAATCGAAATCGAGATACAAAATTCCTGACAATCAAAAAGTACAAAATGTGGATACGTCTCGTCGATTGAGGGCAGAAACACGCCAATTCAGGCGAATGTTGAAAAACATGACAATCTAAAAATATTAGGGAAGCTTTCCAGTGAAGATTTCAAAAATATGCCATCTTAGATGTCAAATTTTTGTTGATTGTTTTAGGTTGGTAACACTTTCATGAGAATGTTATATTATAGTTAACAAAATTTTATTCTTGAAATCAATATTAAAAATTAAGAAAAGTATAATTATTAATAATAAAATTATTAAAGGTTCTTCCGACTTAGCCATCAATATTCAACAAAATATTAATTATTTTGACTCATCAATTTTTCGTTTACAGTGTTATCAACCTAAAACAATCAACAAAAATTTGACATCTGAGATGGCATGTTTTTGAAATCTTCACTGGAATGGCAGGTTTCCCTAATATTTTTTAGATTGTCATGTTTCTCAACATTCGCCTGAATTGGCGTGTTTCTGCCCTCAATCGACGCTCTTCACTAATGAAAGGATCTTAATGAACTGACGCATAAACAAATAATAACCTTGTATTTATAGTTTTTATCTCAGTACGCATGAAGATGGAGTTCAAAGAGCAATCAATAAAATTACCAGTTACAAATTTTGACAAAATGACGCAACAAAAGACGGAAAAAAACGTCATGGAAGTTAATTACCCAATACGGTGCGAGCTATTTTTTGTGGGCCTTCAAATTGTGAAAAAACAAATGCCCTACTCACACTACTCTTACATCCAAATGGACTACGTTTTGAAAATATCTACATCTTCTCTAAATCTTTAAATCAACCAAAGTATAAATTCTTAGAGAAAACAGGTTCAACTAGTTGAAGGTGTTGAGTATTTTCCATTTAAAGAGCATGAAAATGTTATTCAACCTAATGAAGCTGTACCAAATTCAACAATTGTCTTTGACGATGTAGCATGTGATAAGCAGGATAGAATTAGAGCATTTTTTTCAATGGGTCGTCATAGACTTATTGATTGTTTCTATTTATGTCAAACTTATACACGAATTCCTAAGCATTCAATTCGCGATAACGTTAATTTTTTAGTAATTTTCAGACAAGACGAATTAAACCTTAAACATATATATAACGACCATGTCAATACAGATATGTCATATACACAATTTAGAGATTTTTGTTCATCTTGTTGGAATAATGATAAATATGGCTTTGTTGTCATTGAAAAAAAACAGTGAACTCAATTGTGGTAGATATAGAAAGGGTTTTGATTGTTTTATAATAGTTTGTGAAGTATAAAAAAGATTTTCCCTTAGTTTTTAGATTTAGTTATACTAGAAACATTGTTAATCAAGATGTCTTCTACAAGAATTGATCATATTTATAAACAAAAAGGTCTCGCACAAAACATAAATTATTGAAATTAGGTAAAGAGTCCTTTGAGCTAAAATTAGGGGACACTTTTAAACCTATTGTTAATCCTCTGGAAAAGCTAGTTGGTGATATTGAAATACTTAAAGCAGTTGATGGTATAAAGAAAGAGAAAAAAATTTTTAAAAATGAAGAATTGGAAATAGAATTTGACAGTTTCAACGATAATAATTTAAATGATGAATCATTTAAATCAGCAACATTTGAAGAACAGTTACAACCTTTAGAATTATCCGATCAAGAAATGACAATAGCGTCTTCTTACCATCAACTGATGAAAATACAAGAGAATAGCTTACACTTTTAAATCAAAGGAAGAAAGATGTCGATACTGTATATGGTGTAAGAAAATTAACAAAAGACAGATTGATAATAATTGGTAATTCTGCAATAAATTTCAGTCAAAACTATATTCATGTTGGTAACATGACATTTCGCAGTAGTAAAGGGTTACTTGAGCTTCTTTTTAAAAAAAATTCTAGCGAATCTGTTGTGAGTTTAGAGGATCTAGAAAACTTTAAAACAATTATTTTAACAACTAACGCTCATAAAAAACACTACACCGCTGATGGTGATATTTGTGCGAGTAAAGCCTTTAAATTTAATCATTTTATTGAAAAATTCTTATCAACTTCTAGAAAAAGTGGTAGCGATAAGAATTCTTTAGTTAGAGGTATTATTCTACAATAAATGACTGCTAAAGATGGAAATAATTTGGATTATATCTATTGGGATGATACAAATGAATTGGTTGATCGATTACGTTTACTGTTAGCAGCACAAGCAGCAGGAAATTCAAGTCATACAAACGAAATTTTATCTCTTATTGAAGAATTACGAGAAGCTAACATTATTTATTAATGAATGTTAATTGTAAGAAACATTAGTTGAACAATGTCTCTCGACGTATTTGGACGTTCCTTTAGAAAAAGTGAAAATTCAATTCGTGGACCTCCTGGTGTTAAGGTCACCACTGAAGGACACTTTGATATTGAAAATAAAAAATTACGCAATGTAGCTGAAGCTTTAGAAAACAATGATGCAGTAAATTTAAAATTGGTGCAAAATTTATTAGAAAAAGATGCAGAAGAATTCTACAATAGTATTGCAGTATTAAGACAACTTAATGACGCTACTTCTGCCATCACAAAATTAACGTTTGATCTGGATAATAGTTATTTTCGTATCAAGGGCGCAAAATAGGTAATTGTGGCGTAGGCAAGATTGGGTATTGGCTTCGATATTGGCTTCGCCTCGGGCGCTTCGAATCGCCGAGGTTTGCTAAATCTCGCCTAAGTCACAATCACCTTTTGTGCCCTTGATACGAACGTAATTTTTTGTCCTGCCTGGACGAAAAGTATGTCGTTTGAGGGCACGACTGTTCTGAAAAGTACAGATAAAAATACAAGAAAAATTAAATTACTAGACAAAAAGTATAAGTTGCATAAGTGTGTGTGTATATGTATGTATGTGTGTGAATATAATACTGTAATATATTATAAACAGTAAAATTCCATTAGTCCTTCTTGACCAAAAGGAGCGGGCGTAAAAGTACTTTTACGCCCGCTTGTCTAACCCCGAGCGACAATGAGATACTTTGGGCCCGCTTTAAGTGCCCAAAATGACATACTTTTCGGGCAGGTAGGACAAAAAGAATTTTTTGAAAATTTCAAAACAGAATATGATGCATTAAATAAACGAGTGTTTCTAAACTCTGAATTTATTTCTCAATTTGAATACAGACTAAGAGCACTTGAGAAAAAAATGAATCAAGAAAAATTAGCTCTCATTAAAGAGTTACACAAGCCTGCGAGAAGAAATTATTCAAGACGAAAATTTGACATTCGAGGAATCGATGAAACTTTGCTAGCCGATCTTGTGGAAATAACGACATATGCAAAAGAAAATAAAGGTTACAAATACATTTTGACTGTCATCGATATTTTCTCAAAATTTGCCTGGGCTGTTCCTGTAAAGAATAAAACTGGTGAAGACGTTACTGCTGCTATGAAATCAGTACTGCATCAAGGTCGTGTGCCAAAAAATTTACACGTTGATCAAGGAAAAGAATTCTACAATACGCACTTTAAGAATCTCATGAAACAATATAAAACAAATATGTATTCTACATTTAGTAATTTAAAAGCTGTAATTTGTGAACGATTTAATCGTACATTAAAAAATAAAATGTGGATGCAACTTAGTTTACACGGTAATTACAGGTGGTTAGATATTTTACAAGAATTAATTTTATCCTACAATAATACTATACATCGAACAATTAAAATAAAACCAAACGATGTAAACAGAATGAATGAACGAAAAATCTTATTTAGTATATATAAAAAATTTAGTGTAAAATCATTGAAAAAAAAATTGAAATTTAAAATTGGTGATAAAATACGAATAAGTAAATTAAAACATGTTTTTGAGAAAGGATATACACCAAATTGGACAACAGAAATCTTCACCATTGATGTTGTAAATAATACTGAACCAACGACTTACTTACTAAAAGATTATCAAAATAATCCAGTTGCTGGAAATTTTTATCAACAAGAACTCGCTCCAGCTAATAATCCTGATATTTATTTAGTTGAAAAAGTAATAAAAAAACGTGGTAATAAGATTTATGTAAAATGGTTAGGTTTCGATAATTCTCACAATAGTTGGATAGAAAATATGTAATTTTTATTTATATATAAGAAATAAAGATTTTTTATTTATTTTTTTTTTAAAAGTGTTTTTTTTCTTCTCCTTTTAAAAAAGAAATTAAATTTTAAGGTTAATAAAACAAATTGAATCACTTTATAAAAAATATTAATATATTGCATCGTATTTTTTTTACAAAAAATTATTATCTTCAATAATTCGTAAAATTTCTAAATATTCGAAAATTTCAGCACATAATTTTTTTAAATGAAATGTACACAATTCACAAAATAATCGTGCAATATAAACAGGTACATTATCTCTATTCATTAAAATCATTTTAAGTAAACTAAATTCTCTTTTCACAAATTTTTCAATGCTTTCTACATCTGTAACTCTATTTCTATTAAACATAATATGTCCAATAGTTTGAATAATAATATTTACATTATTTTGCACAAATAACTCTTCTAAATCAAAAATATTTTGATCAATAAGGTCACTTAAGATTTTTAAAATTTCAAACGTTGTTGCATTAAAATAAAATGGATGTACAGAACTTTTGTCTAAGCGTTTAATCATCATAAGACGCTGACCCATGTAGATGACAAATTTTAATTCTAAATTACCACATTTGAAAATACGTGGGTTCATTTGCTTTTGAAAAAAAACTAGAAATTTCCGTAAAATAACTGCAAACACAATCCCATTCATATGAATATAAAGATAAGGTTGTTCGTGGATGGCTGCTACATAAATTTACTTGCACAATTAAATTTTTGAAATCGTTGACTGCAAATCCAACAACAATCTGTTTATTGAACGATGGAGTTAGGTTATATGCCGTATGGAGAATTAATGTATCTCTTGGTATATATGCCATTATTCAGAATTGGTTTCATTAGCTGATTGTAATTCAAAATTATTATAATCTCCACCCAAATATTTGAAATAGACTGATCCCTATTGAATTTCTTCTTTTAATTTATCAAAAAGTTCAAGATGCTTTTCACCATCGAGAAAAAGTTTCACTATTCGTTCTGGTAAAAATACTCTGCATTCATTATCAATTTCAATAAGTATTTTTGGACCAAATCTTGTATTTATGTATTTCAAATCCGACACATGATACAATTCACCAACTTTCAGCATTTTCATTGGTTTTATTGGTAAAACAATATTTGCAACTTGATTAAATTGTTTAAAATCCATCTTTTTTTTAATAAGGAGAATCAAAAAAATTTTATCAACTTTTATTTAAAAAACTATTTTAATTCAATAACTTCTTTTTCTGATTTTATTTCTTTCACACTTGAAATTCAGATTAGAACTAAAAAATTAACGCAAAAATCACGCTTTTTATAACAACGGACCCCCACCTTCTCCCACTCTTTCGGACACAAAATGGCACAGCCCTGGCCTATCACACGGACACGCACCTACACACATTGACTCACACCGACTCAATACTAATTGGTCCAGAACCGGCACAGTATATCTACTTAGATAATTTCTTTTTTTGTATGTCAAATTTTTTTTGCACTCTTTCTTTTTTATTTCTGTTTTATTACGATTACGTTTTTTCAATCTCTCATTCTCCTGTCTTATTAATTTCTGCTCTTATGTAACTTCGCGCCTTGCCATCCTTTTTCTTCCCTTTTCTTTAATTGCTCGATTTATCTTTTTATCATTTTCTTTACTCAAAATTTTTCATTATTAAATATTCATGTGGTGAAATTTTGTTCACATTATTATCAGTTGTACGAATTATTTTCTTTTCACTAGTGTCATTTAGAGAATGTTTAATTTTTAAATCTTGTGTTAATAGAACTCTGTTAATATTATTACTGGGAATATAATTACTAAAAATATAATTTTTATGTTCCTAAGTTCAATTTATGAAAAGACGGTTCTAATCATTCTCTATTATCGAATTCCTATTGTGCGACGTTCTTACTGCCGGAAAATGATTTAAGCGATTATTTTCAAACATTGACTTAAAACGGTTTCTCATTTTGTTATTATCAGTTTCATAACACAGGCCAACAAAATTAGCAAACTTTTTTGGTGCGGAAAATGTCAGACCCGTTTCTGATAGGTTTTTTCGTGCCGAACACGAATTCGTAAACGAAAATCTCCTATCAGCTCTAGTTTTTGAGAAAAACGGGTTTAAAATGTTCAAAAATCGCATTTTTGGCTAACTTTGAGTACCTCTAACACTGAAACAAAAGGTCTTAGAACCTTCCACTTGGGCTTAATTTGAAGCTTAATGTTTTAACTATTATCCCCAAAAATGACCTATTTTGCACCATAACCTCAAAGTCATTTGTTATCCATTTTTGATTCCCAAATATTAATTTTGTAAAAGTTTGTGCGCGTACATCTAGTCCTTGAGGTTAAGGTGCAGCAATGTAATTTTTATGAACTACAATCAAGGGATAAATTGAATTGAAGCTCAACAAGAAGGTTCACTCACCTTTGATTTTATTGACTAGAATTATTTAAATATTATCAAATAAGTTCTGTAGCTAAATACTAGTTACCAACAATTTTGAGGTTATTACTGAATAATATAATTTTTAGGGCTTGTAGTCTAAAATTCAAACTTTATTTTAAGTTCAAATAAAAGGTTCTATGAACCTTTTTTCTTTGCTAGCGGTACGCGCTCAAACTTTTACAAAATTAATATTTGCGAATCAAAAATGATAACAAATGACTTTGAAATTATGGTGCAACATAGGTCATTTTTGGGGATAATAGTTGAAACATTAAGCCTCAATTTAAGCCCAAGTGGAAGGTTCTACGACCTTATATTTCAGTGCTAAAGGTACTCAAAGTTAGCCAAAAACGCGATTTTTGAACATTTAAAACCCGTTTTTCTCAAAAACTAGAGCTGATAGGAACTTTTTGTTTACGGATTTGTGTTCAGCATGAAAAAACATATCAAAAACAGGTCTGACATTTGCCGCACCAAAATCAGTGTTGGCCTGTGTAATTTACACGGTTTGTCATTACGTTAAATAATATAGATGTTGCAAATGCTATTGCATATACTCCACACTCAACACTACCAAAAGGTTGTTGATTATCAGCTTCAAAAACTACTTAAATTTTGTGCGCGCGACGCTTTACAAGATATCAGAAAACCATGATGGCAGACATGTGACTTAAATGAAAACAAAAACTTAACCTAAATGTTCATCATATTTCGCAGAAATAATTATCGAATAGAAAAAATATAACAAGATAAGTGATAAAGAATTGTGAGAAGTGATTAAAAACATAAATCTTGATTATTATGTGCAAATTTCTTTGATGATAATATTAAAGTGCCAAACAACGCGTAAGATGAGAAATGTGCGTTCAGAGCAGCGAACGTGTCAAGAATTTATGTTATTTAAAAAGTTATGGAAAATAGAAAAATAAAAAGCAAAAAATATTCAATTTGTGACAAGAAGAAGCATGCAGAAAATTTCAAAAATAAGATAATAATATTGTGGAAGATGACAACGTTAAACAATGAAATTATGAAGGAAAAAAAGCAAGATCATGAAATGCCTCTTAACACCGGTAAGTAATAATAAATTATTTATTTACACTTTTTTTGAATAATTGAGAATGTTTATCTTAAAATCAGTGGTCAGACATCTTCTATTATATTAAGTTAACAAATTTCGAAAAACGACACCGACCCCGTGACCTCGACACCGTCCTTGAAAAATCTATTTTCAATTATTTTCAAATAAATCAAAATACTTTGCATATATGCTGTTAGAAAATCTTACAAACTATTTTGATGTAACATCTTTTTGCAATTTTAACCCTAAAAAGGGTTATTTTGCAATTTTTTAAGAATTTTTTGATTTTTTCAATTTTTTATTATTTATTGTTGTTTTTTCAATTTTTAGTTAGTAACCTATAATATTGTGTCTAATTTTAAGTGTCATTAAAATCAAATGTTTTTAACTTAATAATTTTAACATTTCTTAATTAAAAACGAAACATCTTCTATTATATTAAATTAACAAATTTCGAAAAACGAAACCGACCCCGTGACCTCGACACCGTCCTTGAAAAATCTATTTTCAATTATTTTCAAATAAGTCAAAATACTTTGCATATATGCTGTTAGAAAATCTTACAAACTATTTTTATGTAACATCTTTTTTAAATTTTAACCCGAAAAAGGGTTATTTTGCAATTTTTTAAGAATTTTTTGATTTTTTCAATTTTTTATTATTATTTTTTATTATTTATTGTTGTTTTTTCAATTTTTAGTTAGTAACCTATAATATTGTGTCTAATTTTAAGTGTCATTAAAATCAAATGTTTTTAACTTAATAATTTTAACATTTCTTAATTTAAAACGAAACATCTTCTATTATATTAAGTTAACAAATTTCGAAAAACGACACCGACCCCGTGACCTCGACACCGTCCTTGAAAAATCTATTTTCAATTATTTTCAAATAAATTAAAATACTTTGCATATATGCTGTTAGAAAATCTTACAAACTATTTTGATGTAACATCTTTTTGCAATTTTAACCCTAAAAAGGGTTATTTTGCAATTTTTTAAGAATTTTTTGATTTTTTCAATTTTTTATTATTTATTGTTGTTTTTTCAATTTTTAGTTAGTAACCTATAATATTGTGTCTAATTTTAAGTGTCATTAAAATCAAATGTTTTTAACTTAATAATTTTAACATTTCTTAATTAAAAACGAAACATCTTCTATTATATTAAATTAACAAATTTCGAAAAACGACACCGACCCCGTGACCTCGACACCGTCCTTGAAAAATCTATTTTCAATTATTTTCAAATAAGTCAAAATACTTTGCATATATGCTGTTAGAAAATCTTACAAACTATTTTTATGTAACATCTTTTTTAAATTTTAACCCGAAAAAGGGTTATTTTGCAATTTTTTAAGAATTTTTTGATTTTTTCAATTTTTTATTATTTATTGTTGTTTTTTCAATTTTTAGTTAGTAACCTATAATATTGTGTCTAATTTTAAGTGTCATTAAAATCAAATGTTTTTAACTTAATAATTTTAACATTTCCTAATTTAAAACGAAACATCTTCTATTAGGTATATTAAGTTAACAAATTTCGAAAATCTACACCGACCCCGTGACCTCGACACCGTCCTTGAAAAATCTATTTTCAATTATTTTCAAATAAATCAAAATACTTTGCATATATGCTGTTAGAAAATCTTACAAACTATTTTTATGTAACATCTTTTTTAAATTTTAACCCGAAAAAGGGTTATTTTGCATTTTTTTAAGAATTTTTTGATTTTTTCAATTTTTTATTATTATTTTTTATTATTTATTGTTGTTTTTTCAATTTTTAGTTAGTAACCTATAATATTGTGTCTAATTTTAAGTGTCATTAAAATCAAATGTTTATAACTTAATAATTTTAACATTTCTTAATTAAAAAAGAAACATCTTCTATTATATTAAGTTAACAAATTTCGAAAAACGACACCGACCCCGTGACCTCGACACCGTCCTTGAAAAATCTATTTTCAATTATTTTCAAATAAATCAAAATACTTTGCATATATGCTGTTAGAAAATCTTACAAACTATTTTGATGTAACATCTTTTTGCAATTTTAACCCTAAAAAGGGTTATTTTGCAATTTTTTAAGAATTTTTTGATTTTTTCAATTTTTTATTATTTATTGTTGTTTTTTCAATTTTTAGTTAGTAACCTATAATATTGTGTCTAATTTTAAGTGTCATTAAAATCAAATGTTTTTAACTTAATAATTTTAACATTTCTTAATTAAAAACGAAACATCTTCTATTATATTAAATTAACAAATTTCGAAAAACGACACCGACCCCGTGACCTCGACACCGTCCTTGAAAAATCTATTTTCAATTATTTTCAAATAAATCAAAATACTTTGCATATATGCTGTTAGAAAATCTTACAAACTATTTTGATGTAACATCTTTTTGCAATTTTAACCCTAAAAAAAGTTATTTTGCAATTTTTTAAGAATTTTTTGATTTTTTCAATTTTTTATTATTTATTGTTGTTTTTTCAATTTTTAGTTAGTAACCTATAATATTGTGTCTAATTTTAAGTGTCATTAAAATCAAATGTTTTTAACTTAATAATTTTAACATTTCTTAATTAAAAACGAAACATCTTCTATTATATTAAATTAACAAATTTCGAAAAACGACACCGACCCCGTGACCTCGACACCGTCCTTGAAAAATCTATTTTCAATTATTTTCAAATAAATCAAAATACTTTGCATATATGCTGTTAGAAAATCTTACAAACTATTTTGATGTAACATCTTTTTGCAATTTTAACCCTAAAAAAAGTTATTTTGCAATTTTTTAAGAATTTTTTGATTTTTTCAATTTTTTATTATTTATTGTTGTTTTTTCAATTTTTAGTTAGTAACCTATAATATTGTGTCTAATTTTAAGTGTCATTAAAATCAAATGTTTTTAACTTAATAATTTTAACATTTCTTAATTAAAAACGAAACATCTTCTATTATATTAAATTAACAAATTTCGAAAAACGACACCGACCCCGTGACCTCGACACCGTCCTTGAAAAATCTATTTTCAATTATTTTCAAATAAATCAAAATACTTTGCATATATGCTGTTAGAAAATCTTACAAACTATTTATATGTAACATCTTTTTTAAATTTTAACCCGAAAAAGGGTTATTTTGCAATTTTTTAAGAATTTTTTGATTTTTTCAATTTTTTATTATTATTTTTTATTATTTATTGTTGTTTTTTCAATTTTTAGTTAGTAACCTATAATATTGTGTCTAATTTTAAGTGTCATTAAAATCAAATGTTTATAACTTAATAATTTTAACATTTCTTAATTAAAAAAGAAACATCTTCTATTATATTAAGTTAACAAATTTCGAAAAACGACACCGACCCCGTGACCTCGACACCGTCCTTGAAAAATCTATTTTCAAATAAATCAAAATACTTTGCATATATGCTGTTAGAAAATCTTACAAACTATTTTGATGTAACATCTTTTTGCAATTTTAACCCTAAAAAGGGTTATTTTGCAATTTTTTAATAATTTTTTGATTTTTTATTATTTATTGTTGTTTTTTCAATTTTTAGTTAGTAACCTATAATATTGTGTCTAATTTTAAGTGTCATTAAAACCAAATGTTTTTAACTTAATAATTTTAACATTTCTTAATTTAAAACGAAACATCTTCTATTAGGTATATTAAGTTAACAAATTTCGAAAATCGACACCGACCCCGTGACCTCGACACCGTCCTTGAAAAATCTATTTTCAATTATTTTCAAATAAATCAAAATACTTTGCATATATGCTGTTAGAAAATCTTACAAACTATTTTTATGTAACATCTTTTTTAAATTTTAACCCGAAAAAGGGTTATTTTGCAATTTTTTAAGAATTTTTTGATTTTTTCAATTTTTTATTATTATTTTTTATTATTTATTGTTGTTTTTTCAATTTTTAGTTAGTAACCTATAATATTGTGTCTAATTTTAAGTGTCATTAAAATCAAATGTTTATAACTTAATAATTTTAACATTTCTTAATTAAAAATGAAACATCTTCTATTATATTAAGTTAACAAATTTTGAAAAACGACACCGACCCCGTGACCTCGACACCGTCCTTGAAAAATCTATTTTCAATTATTTTCAAATAAATCAAAATACTTTGCATATATGCTGTTAGAAAATCTTACAAACTATTTTGATGTAACATCTTTTTGCAATTTTAACCCTAAAAAAATTATTTTGCAATTTTTTAAGAATTTTTTGATTTTTTCAATTTTTTATTATTTATTGTTGTTTTTTCAATTTTTAGTTAGTAACCTATAATATTGTGTCTAATTTTAAGTGTCATTAAAATCAAATGTTTATAACTTAATAATTTTAACATTTCTTAATTAAAAATGAAACATCTTCTATTATATTAAGTTAACAAATTTTGAAAAACGACACCGACCCCGTGACCTCGACACCGTCCTTGAAAAATCTATTTTCAATTATTTTCAAATAAATCAAAATACTTTGCATATATGCTGTTAGAAAATCTTACAAACTATTTTGATGTAACATCTTTTTGCAATTTTAACCCTAAAAAAATTATTTTGCAATTTTTTAAGAATTTTTTGATTTTTTCAATTTTTTATTATTTATTGTTGTTTTTTCAATTTTTAGTTAGTAACCTATAATATTGTGTCTAATTTTAAGTGTCATTAAAATCAAATGTTTTTAACTTAATAATTTTAACATTTCTTAATTAAAAACGAAACATCTTCTATTATATTAAATTAACAAATTTCGAAAAACGACACCGACCCCGTGACCTCGACACCGTCCTTGAAAAATCTATTTTCAATTATTTTCAAATAAATCAAAATACTTTGCATATATGCTGTTAGAAAATCTTACAAACTATTTTGATGTAACATCTTTTTGCAATTTTAACCCTAAAAAAAGTTATTTTGCAATTTTTTAAGAATTTTTTGATTTTTTCAATTTTTTATTATTTATTGTTGTTTTTTCAATTTTTAGTTAGTAACCTATAATATTGTGTCTAATTTTAAGTGTCATTAAAATCAAATGTTTTTAACTTAATAATTTTAACATTTCTTAATTAAAAACGAAACATCTTCTATTATATTAAATTAACAAATTTCGAAAAACGACACCGACCCCGTGACCTCGACACCGTCCTTGAAAAATCTATTTTCAATTATTTTCAAATAAATCAAAATACTTTGCATATATGCTGTTAGAAAATCTTACAAACTATTTTGATGTAACATCTTTTTGCAATTTTAACCCTAAAAAGGGTTATTTTGCAATTTTTTAATAATTTTTTGATTTTTTATTATTTATTGTTGTTTTTTCAATTTTTAGTTAGTAACCTATAATATTGTGTCTAATTTTAAGTGTCATTAAAACCAAATGTTTTTAACTTAATAATTTTAACATTTCTTAATTTAAAACGAAACATCTTCTATTAGGTATATTAAGTTAACAAATTTCGAAAATCGACACCGACCCCGTGACCTCGACACCGTCCTTGAAAAATCTATTTTCAATTATTTTCAAATAAATCAAAATACTTTGCATATATGCTGTTAGAAAATCTTACAAACTATTTTTATGTAACATCTTTTTTAAATTTTAACCCGAAAAAGGGTTATTTTGCAATTTTTTAAGAATTTTTTGATTTTTTCAATTTTTTATTATTATTTTTTATTATTTATTGTTGTTTTTTCAATTTTTAGTTAGTAACCTATAATATTGTGTCTAATTTTAAGTGTCATTAAAATCAAATGTTTATAACTTAATAATTTTAACATTTCTTAATTAAAAATGAAACATCTTCTATTATATTAAGTTAACAAATTTTGAAAAACGACACCGACCCCGTGACCTCGACACCGTCCTTGAAAAATCTATTTTCAATTATTTTCAAATAAATCAAAATACTTTGCATATATGCTGTTAGAAAATCTTACAAACTATTTTGATGTAACATCTTTTTGCAATTTTAACCCTAAAAAGGGTTATTTTGCAATTTTTTAATAATTTTTTGATTTTTTATTATTTATTGTTGTTTTTTCAATTTTTAGTTAGTAACCTATAATATTGTGTCTAATTTTAAGTGTCATTAAAACCAAATGTTTTTAACTTAATAATTTTAACATTTCTTAATTTAAAACGAAACATCTTCTATTAGGTATATTAAGTTAACAAATTTCGAAAATCGACACCGACCCCGTGACCTTGACACCGTCCTTGAAAAATCTATTTTCAATTATTTTCAAATAAATCAAAATACTTTGCATATATGCTGTTAGAAAATCTTGCAAACTATTTTTATGTAACATCTTTTTTAAATTTTAACCCGAAAAAGGGTTATTTTGCAATTTTTTAAGAATTTTTTGATTTTTTCAATTTTTTATTATTATTTTTTATTATTTATTGTTGTTTTTCAATTTTTAGTTAGTAACCTATAATATTGTGTCTAATTTTAAGTGTCATTAAAATCAAATGTTTATAACTTAATAATTTTCGATAATTTTAACATTTCTTAATTAAAAAAGAAACATCTTCTATTATATTAAGTTAACAAATTTCGAAAAACGACACCGACCCCGTGACCTCGACACCGTCCTTGAAAAATCTATTTTCAATTATTTTCAAATAAATCAAAATACTTTGCATATATGCTGTTAGAAAATCTTACAAACTATTTTGATGTAACATCTTTTTGCAATTTTAACCCTAAAAAGGGTTATTTTGCAATTTTTTAAGAATTTTTTGATTTTTTCAATTTTTTATTATTTATTGTTGTTTTTTCAATTTTTAGTTAGTAACCTATAATATTGTGTCTAATTTTAAGTGTCATTAAAATCAAATGTTTTTAACTTAATAATTTTAACATTTCTTAATTAAAAACGAAACATCTTCTATTATATTAAATTAACAAATTTCGAAAAACGACACCGACCCCGTGACCTCGACACCGTCCTTGAAAAATCTATTTTCAATTATTTTTAAATAAATCAAAATACTTTGCATATATGCTGTTAGAAAATCATACAAACTATTTTTATGTAACATCTTTTTTCAATTTTAACCCGAAAAAGGGTTATTTTGCAATTTTTTAAGAATTTTTTGATTTTTTCAATTTTTTATTATTATTTTTTATTATTTATTGTTGTTTTTTCAATTTTTAGTTAGTAACCTATAATATTGTGTCTAATTTTAAGTGTCATTAAAATCAAATGTTTTTAACTTAATAATTTTAACATTTCTTAATTAAAAACGAAACATCTTCTATTATATTAAATTAACAAATTTCGAAAAACGACACCGACCCCGTGACCTCGACACCGTCCTTGAAAAATCTATTTTCAATTATTTTTAAATAAATCAAAATACTTTGCATATATGCTGTTAGAAAATCTTACAAACTATTTTTATGTAACATCTTTTTTCAATTTTAACCCGAAAAAGGGTTATTTTGCAATTTTTTAAGAATTTTTTGATTTTTTCAATTTTTTATTATTATTTTTTATTATTTATTGTTGTTTTTTCAATTTTTAGTTAGTAACCTATAATATTGTGTCTAATTTTAAGTGTCATTAAAATCAAATGTTTTTAACTTAATAATTTTAACATTTCTTAATTAAAAACGAAACATCTTCTATTATATTAAATTAACAAATTTCAAAAAACGACACCGACCCCGTGACCTCGACACCGTCCTTGAAAAATCTATTTTCAATTATTTTTAAATAAATCAAAATACTTTGCATATATGCTGTTAGAAAATCTTACAAACTATTTTTATGTAACATCTTTTTTCAATTTTAACCCGAAAAAGGGTTATTTTGCATTTTTTTAAGAATTTTTTGATTTTTTCAATTTTTTATTATTATTTTTTATTATTTATTGTTGTTTTTTCAAATTTTAGTTAGTAACCTATAATATTGTGTCTAATTTTAAGTGTCATTAAAATCAAATGTTTTTAACTTAATAATTTTAACATTTCTTAATTTAAAACGAAACATCTTCTATTATATTAAGTTAACAAATTTCGAAAAACGACACCGACCCCGTGACCTCGACACCGTCCTTGAAAAATCTATTTTCAATTATTTTCAAATAAATCAAAATACTTTGCATATATGCTGTTAGAAAATCTTACAAACTATTTTTATGTAACATCTTTTTTCAATTTTAACCCGAAAAAGGGTTATTTTGCATTTTTTTAAGAATTTTTTGATTTTTTCAATTTTTTATTATTATTTTTTATTATTTATTGTTGTTTTTTCAATTTTTAGTTAGTAACCTATAATATTGTGTCTAATTTTAAGTGTCATTAAAATCAAATGTTTATAACTTAATAATTTTAACATTTCTTAATTAAAAAAGAAACATCTTCTATTATATTAAGTTAACAAATTTCGAAAAACGACACCGACCCCGTGACCTCGACACCGTCCTTGAAAAATCTATTTTCAATTATTTTCAAATAAATCAAAATACTTTGCATATATGCTGTTAGAAAATCTTACAAACTATTTTTATGTAACATCTTTTTGCAATTTTAACCCGAAAAAGGGTTATTTTGCAATTTTTGAAGAATTTTTTAATTTTTTCAATTTTTTATTATTTATTGTTGTTTTTTCAAATTTTAGTTAGTAACCTATAATATTGTGTCTAATTTTAAGTGTCATGAAAATCAAATGTTTTTAACTTAATAATTTTAACATTTCTTAATTTAAAACGAAACATCTTCTATTATATTAAGTTAACAAATTTCGAAAAACGACACCGACCCTGTGACCTCGACAACGTCCTTGAAAAATCTATTTTCAATTATTTTCAAATAAATCAAAATACTTTGCATATATGCTGTTAGAAAATCTTACAAACTATTTTTATGTAACATCTTTTTGCAATTTTAACCCGAAAAAGGGTTATTTTGCAATTTTTTAAGAATTTTTTAATTTTTTCAATTTTTTATTATTTATTGTTGTTTTTTCAAATTTTAGTTAGTAACCTATAATATTGTGTCTAATTTTAAGTGTCATGAAAATCAAATGTTTTTAACTTAATAATTTTAACATTTCTTAATTTAAAACGAAACATCTTCTATTATATTAAGTTAACAAATTTCGAAAAACGACACCGACCCCGTGACCTCGACACCGTCCTTGAAAAATCTATTTTCAAATAAATCAAAATACTTTGCATATATGCTGTTAGAAAATCTTACAAACTATTTTTATGTAACATCTTTTTTCAATTTTAACCCGAAAAAAGCTTATTTTGCAATTTTTTAAGAATTTTTTGATTTTTTCAATTTTTTATTATTATTTTTTATTATTTATTGTTGTTTTTTCAATTTTTAGTTAGTAACCTATAATATTGTGTCTAATTTTAAGTGTCATTAAAATCAAATGTTTTTAACTTAATAATTTTATCATTTCTTAATTTAAAATGAAACATCTTCTATTATATTAAGTTAACAAATTTCGAAAAACGACACCGACCCCGTGACCTCGACACCGTCCTTGAAAAATCTATTTTCAATTATTTTCAAATAAATCAAAATACTTTGCATATATGCTGTTAGAAAATCTTACAAACTTTTTTTATGTAACATCTTTTTTCAATTTTAACCCGAAAAAGGGTTATTTTGCAATTTTTTAAGAATTTTTTAATTTTTTCAATTTTTTATTATTTATTGTTGTTTTTTCAAATTTTAGTTAGTAACCTATAATATTGTGTCTAATTTTAAGTGTCATTAAAATCAAATGTTTTTAACTTAATAATTTTAACATTTCTTAATTTAAAACGAAACATCTTCTATTATATTAAGTTAACAAATTTCGAAAAACGACACCGACCCCGTGACCTCGACACCGTCCTTGAAAAATCTATTTTCAATTATTTTCAAATAAATCAAAATACTTTGCATATATGCTGTTAGAAAATATTACAAACTATTTTTATGTAACATCTTTTTTCAATTTTAACCCGAAAAAGGGTTATTTTGCATTTTTTTAAGAATTTTTTGATTTTTTCAATTTTTTATTATTATTTTTTATTATTTATTGTTGTTTTTTCAATTTTTAGTTAGTAACCTATAATATTGTGTCTAATTTTAAGTGTCATTAAAATCAAATGTTTATAACTTAATAATTTTAACATTTCTTAATTAAAAAAGAAACATCTTCTATTTTATTAAGTTAACAAATTTCGAAAAACGACACCGACCCCGTGACCTCGACACCGTCCTTGAAAAATCTATTTTCAATTATTTTCAAATAAATCAAAATACTTTGCATATATGCTGTTAGAAAATCTTACAAACTATTTTTATGTAACATCTTTTTGCAATTTTAACCCGAAAAAGGGTTATTTTGCAATTTTTGAAGAATTTTTTAATTTTTTCAATTTTTTATTATTTATTGTTGTTTTTTCAAATTTTAGTTAGTAACCTATAATATTGTGTCTAATTTTAAGTGTCATGAAAATCAAATGTTTTTAACTTAATAATTTTAACATTTCTTAATTTAAAACGAAACATCTTCTATTATATTAAGTTAACAAATTTCGAAAAACGACACCGACCCTGTGACCTCGACAACGTCCTTGAAAAATCTATTTTCAATTATTTTCAAATAAATCAAAATACTTTGCATATATGCTGTTAGAAAATCTTACAAACTATTTTTATGTAACATCTTTTTGCAATTTTAACCCGAAAAAGGGTTATTTTGCAATTTTTGAAGAATTTTTTAATTTTTTCAATTTTTTATTATTTATTGTTGTTTTTTCAAATTTTAGTTAGTAACCTATAATATTGTGTCTAATTTTAAGTGTCATGAAAATCAAATGTTTTTAACTTAATAATTTTAACATTTCTTAATTTAAAACGAAACATCTTCTATTATATTAAGTTAACAAATTTCGAAAAACGACACCGACCCCGTGACCTCGACACCGTCCTTGAAAAATCTATTTTCAATTATTTTCAAATAAATCAAAATACTTTGCATATATGCTGTTAGAAAATATTACAAACTATTTTTATGTAACATCTTTTTTCAATTTTAACCCGAAAAAGGGTTATTTTGCATTTTTTTAAGAATTTTTTGATTTTTTCAATTTTTTATTATTATTTTTTATTATTTATTGTTGTTTTTTCAATTTTTAGTTAGTAACCTATAATATTGTGTCTAATTTTAAGTGTCATTAAAATCAAATGTTTATAACTTAATAATTTTAACATTCCTTAATTAAAAAAGAAACATCTTCTATTTTATTAAGTTAACAAATTTCGAAAAACGACACCGACCCCGTGACCTCGACACCGTCCTTGAAAAATCTATTTTCAATTATTTTCAAATAAATCAAAATACTTTGCATATATGCTGTTAGAAAATCTTACAAACTATTTTTATGTAACATCTTTTTGCAATTTTAACCCGAAAAAAGCTTATTTTGCAATTTTTTAAGAATTTTTTGATTTTTTCAATTTTTTATTATTATTTTTTATTATTTATTGTTGTTTTTTCAATTTTTAGTTAGTAACCTATAATATTGTGTCTAATTTTAAGTGTCATTAAAATCAAATGTTTTTAACTTAATAATTTTATCATTTCTTAATTTAAAATGAAACATCTTCTATTATATTAAGTTAACAAATTTCGAAAAACGACACCGACCCCGTGACCTCGACACCGTCCTTGAAAAATCTATTTTTAATTATTTTCAAATAAATCAAAATACTTTGCATATATGCTGTTAGAAAATCTTACAAACTATTTTTATGTAACATCTTTTTGCAATTTTAACCCGAAAAAGGGTTATTTTGCAATTTTTTAAGAATTTTTTAATTTTTTCAATTTTTTATTATTTATTGTTGTTTTTTCAAATTTTAGTTAGTAACCTATAATATTGTGTCTAATTTTAAGTGTCATGAAAATCAAATGTTTTTAACTTAATAATTTTAACATTTCTTAATTTAAAACGAAACATCTTCTATTATATTAAGTTAACAAATTTTGAAAAACGACACCGACCCCGTGACCTCGACACCGTCCTTGAAAAATCTATTTTCAATTATTTTCAAATAAATCAAAATACTTTGCATATATGCTGTTAGAAAATCTTACAAACTATTTTTATGTAACATCTTTTTTCAATTTTAACCCGAAAAAGGGTTATTTTGCATTTTTTTAAGAATTTTTTGATTTTTTCAATTTTTTATTATTATTTTTTATTATTTATTGTTGTTTTTTCAATTTTTAGTTAGTAACCTATAATATTGTGTCTAATTTTAAGTGTCATTAAAATCAAATGTTTTTAACTTAATAATTTTATCATTTCTTAATTTAAAATGAAACATCTTCTATTATATTAAGTTAACAAATTTCGAAAAACGACACCGACCCCGTGACCTCGACACCGTCCTTTAAAAATCTATTTTTAATTATTTTCAAATAAATCAAAATACTTTGCATATATGCTGTTAGAAAATCTTACAAACTATTTTTATGTAACATCTTTTTGCAATTTTAACCCGAAAAAGGGTTATTTTGCAATTTTTGAAGAATTTTTTAATTTTTTCAATTTTTTATTATTTATTGTTGTTTTTTCAAATTTTAGTTAGTAACCTATAATATTGTGTCTAATTTTAAGTGTCATGAAAATCAAATGTTTTTAACTTAATAATTTTAACATTTCTTAATTTAAAACGAAACATCTTCTATTATATTAAGTTAACAAATTTTGAAAAACGACACCGACCCCGTGACCTCGACACCGTCCTTGAAAAATCTATTTTCAATTATTTTCAAATAAATCAAAATACTTTGCATATATGCTGTTAGAAAATCTTACAAACTATTTTTATGTAACATCTTTTTTCAATTTTAACCCGAAAAAAGGTTATTTTGCAATTTTTTAAGAATTTTTTGATTTTTTCAATTTTTTATTATTATTTTTTTTTATTTATTGTTGTTTTTTCAATTTTTAGTTAGTAACCTATAATATTGTGTCTAATTTTAAGTGTCATTAAAATCAAATGTTTTTAACTTAATAATTTTATCATTTCTTAATTTAAAATGAAACATCTTCTATTATATTAAGTTAACAAATTTCGAAATACCATACTTTGCATATATGCTGTTAGAAAATCTTACAAACTATTTTTTTTTATAAGTCCAAAAAAATTAGGGACTTAGAAAAATATTGATTTTTTATTTTTAATACTTAATTTTCATTTACAATAATGTAAAGTTATAATATGTTTTAACTTATTTATGGCATCCATTGTGCAATTTTCGTAAGTTGTTTTATTTCTTATTAATTTTTAAATTAATTTTTTATAATTTAGTTTTATATGAGTGATGTTATTAATAAATTATTATAATTTATTATATTATTTTCTTTATGTTACGCAGCCGTTACTATTCAGCGCAGCCAGTTTACAGTTTTTGTTATTACTTGATTATATTTTATATATTTTTGTTAATGAGGGAGCATATTTTATATATTTTTTTCTTTTAAATGGTTTTTTAATCCTTTCTATGCGATATGATCAGTATAATAATAATTATAATATTTTTTTATGGCGCTGCCGTTACTGTTCAGCGCAGCCATTTCCAATTCAATGAATTAATTTATTTATAAAGTAGAGTTAGTAGATTTCTTCGTAGTCGAATTTTTTTAAAACATGTGTTAAATATTATTGTAATACTTCTTGGTAAACAAGGTTTCTTACATAAATTTCTTTTTCATTGCCTATCTTTTTTGTTAAAGCAAATCCAAGCCTTATTTGAAATTGCTTTCTTGACATTTGAAATGGTATTTCTTCGTTAGACGGTGACAATGTAATTCGTGGCAAAATTACAATCTCATTTTTATAATTTCGCGTTATTACTTGTGCATGAATAGAAAAACTACCCATTTTAATAACTTTTAGTCTTGTTCCATTACAAAGACCTCTTTCTAAATTAATATTCCTTAAAAGTATCACAATTGCACCAATCTTTAATATTAATTTGTGAGGAGGAAGTCCATTTGGAGTTAAACTATTTAATACTTCAATTGGTATTAAGTTAGTTATTGTGTCACACTTTTCATCTTCTTCAGATGAATCTTTACTTAAATATTCTCTAGGTTCACCTGTCATTCGTTTAACAACATCATTATTTAATTCAAATACATCATTATTCCGGAGAACTAGTAATATATGTAAAATCAAACAAGAATCTCTTTATAACGGTTTACTATAGATAATAAAAATAAAAACCGATATTTTAAAAAGTATTTCGATTTATTACGAATATTTTTCTCAAAAATTTACAAAATCTACATGTGTTTGTGGGACAATTTACATCAATATAATATAATATAATATAATTTAAGATAAAAAAAATATATTATAATATAATATAATTAATATTGTTGTCATAATTATAATAAAAAAAATCTAATATTTAACAATTGTCATTTCATCCTTCAATGAAACTGATCAAAATTAAGATAAATTTTATACAATATTAATAAGATATTAATTTAAAATATAAATTATATATATAATATACATAAACTACAATAAGTAAACAACAATAAGTACAATTTTAACCGAGCGTGCGTTAGCGTGCGAGGAATACATCGCTAGTATTTTAATAATTTATAAAAATTAAGCTTTTTTAAATGCAGTGATTATTTATCAAATTTTGATTTGAACTGAAAATTGGATATTAATTTCAAAAGCTTACAAAAAGCGTAAATTATTGTCATTGTAAATCAGAGTTTAAAGCAAAAAGGATTTTAGTTCAAGTTTTTAGTAATGATAAATCCTTTTTTACAAATATCCAAAAATTATTAACGTCCTATTTATTTTAAAAATAAAAGTTCTGGATTTTTAACTCGGAAAGAGAAACTTAATTCGCATGATTTTTAAAAATCAAATCATTCAGTTTGCTTGTCGAAATTCGAAATTATGGAAAAAAAACATTATTCCGAAATAAATAGACAATAAGTGAAAGTAATTCGAAATTTATTGCGAAACGACTTATGCAAATTTTAAATACAATTAATAACCCTATTTTAAGGATAATTTGTTCCGATTTTAATTTTAATAGTGAAATAATTAAAATTTAAAAAAAAACTGCTATTCGAAAGACG